AGTCAAAAATAGGCAAAATTATAGTGGGGAACCAAGAAAATCAGATCAATTAAATACACATTTTGGTTCTGCATGGTCTAGAGAGCGGAATTAAAGGAAACCAGTATTTGTAGGGAAGTGGAGTTGGGGAAATTGATAGGATTAAATACGAATAAATCCTCCAGGGCCCAAAAATCTACATCCCAGAATACTTAAGGAAGTGGCTCTGGAATCATTGGCTATCTTTCAATATTCCATACACTTTGTAACAGTTCCCGCGGATTGGATTGCAGCTAATTTCACCCCATTATTTAACAAAGGAGGTAGAGAGAAAACAGAGAACGAAAGACTGGCTACTCTGACATCAGTAGTGGGAAAATACTCCAGTCTATTATAAAAGATTTAACAGCAGAGCACTTGGAAATCAGTGACAAGATCGGATGGAGTTGCATGGAATAATAAAAGGGAAATCATTTTTACAAATCTACTGGAATATTGTGATTTAACTAGTAGAGTGGTAAGGGGGTGACAATGGATGCAGTTTATTTGGACTTGCAGAAAGCTTTTAAGGTCTCAATTAGCATGCAAAATTAAAGAAGAAGATCAGATTGGGGGCTAATGTATTGACATGGATAGAGAAACAAAGTAGGAACAAACTGAGATAGTAGGAACTGCAGATGTCTAGGAACAAACTGATATTTTTTCCAAGTGGCAGTGACTGGTGGAGTATTGCAGGAATCAGTGCTTGGACCTCAGCTACTCACATCATATAGTAATGATTTAGATGAGAGAACTAAATGTAATATCTCCAGGTTTGCAAATGACTCAAAGCTGAGTGGGAGGGTGAGTTGTCGGGAGGATGCAGAGATGGTTCAGTATGTTTTTGGTCAAGTTGCTCACTTATTCAAATAAACAAGTGAGCAAGAGAAATATGACGTGGATAAATGAGGTTATCCACTTTGGTAGCAAAAACAGGAAGGCAGAATATTATCTGAACGGTGACAGATTAGGAAAGGGGAAGGTGCGACAATGATCTGGGTTTTCTTGTAAATCAATTGATAAAACTAAACATGCAGATGCAGCAGGCAGTGAAGTAGGCAAATAGTATGTCAGTTTTCATGGCGAGGGATTGGAGTACAGGAGGAGGGATATTTGTTGCAATTCTACAGGACCTTAGTAAGACCCCACCTGAAATACTGTGTACAGTTTTGGCCTCCTTACCTGAGGAAGGATGTTCTGGCTATTGAGAGAGGCAAGTGGCTAGAGAGGAAGTTGCAGGGGTCCTGGCTGATATATTCGCATCATTGTTAGCCACAGGTGAAGCCCTGGAAGACTGGAGGGTAGGGCATGTTGTGCCCTTATTCAAGGGCTGCAAAGAAAAACCTGGGAATTATACACTAGTAATCTTAACATCTGTGGTAGGTAAGTTACTTGAAGATTGAGGGATAAGATAAACATGCATTTAGAAAGACAGTGGTTGATAAGGAGTAGTCAGCATGGCTTCATGCATGGGAGATCATGCCTCACAAATTTGTTAGAGTTTTTTGAAGTCACCGGGAAGGTGGTTGAGGTCAGGGCAGTAGATGTAGTCCACATAGACTTCAGTAAAGCCTTTTGATAAGGCTCCACGTGGTAGGCTGCTCTGGAAGGTTAGATCACATGGAATCCAGGGAGAGCTGGCAAATTGGACACATAATTAGCTTGATGGTAGGAAGCAGAGACTAATAGTGGAAGGATGCTTCTCTGACTGGAGGCCTGTGATTAGTGGTGTGCCTTGGGTCTGTGCTGGGGACATTGCTGTTTGTTACCTAAATCAATGATTTGGATGAGAATGTATAAGGCATGATTAGTAAGTTTGCAGATGACACTAAACTAGGCGGTAACATGGACAGTGAGGAAGTTATTAGAAATTGCAGCAGGATCTTGATCAGATGGGGAAATGGGCTGAGAAATGGCAAATGGAGTTTAATATAGATAAGTGTAAGGTGTTGCATTTTGGAAAGTCAAATCAAGGTAGGAGTTTCATGGTGAATGGTAGGACCTTTTAAGGAGTGTAGTGGAACAGAGGGACCTTGGAGTGCAGGTGCATGGTTCCTTGAAAGTGGAGTCACAGGTAGACAGGGCAGTGGAGAAGGTGTTTGGCACACTGGCCTTCATCAGTCAGGGTTTTGAGTACAGAAGCTGGGGAGTTATGTTACAATTGTACAGGATGTTGGCGAGGCTACATTTGGAGTATTGTGTTCAGTTTTGGTCACCTTGCAATAGAAAGGATGTTATTAAATTGGAAAGAGTGCGGAGGAGATTTACAAGGATGTCGCCAGGATACAAGGGACAGAGTTATAGGGAGAGGTTGGACAAGCTAGGACTTTTTTCTTTAGAGCATAGTAGACTGAGGGGGATTTTATAAAAGTGTATAAGATCTTGAGGCATGGATAAGGTGAATGCACTTGGTTCCCCAACCCTGGGTAAAAGACTGAGGGCTAGAGGGCATCAGTTTAAGGTAAGAGGGGAAAGAATACAAGAGAACCTAAGGGGCAACTTTTTTTTTTTTTTTACACCATACACCTATGGAATGAGCTGCCAGTGGAAGTGATTGAGGCAGGTACATTAACAATGTTTTAAAAGGCATTTGGACGAATACATGGAGAGGAAAGGTTTAGAAGGATATGGGTCAAATGCAGGGAAATGGGGTTAGTGTGGATGGACATTTTGGTCAGCGAGGACCTGTTTGGGCCAAAGGGCCTGACTCCGTGCTGTAGGACTCTATGATCTATAACTCAATTGAGGGAGTGCACTAAAGATTTGTCAGGCTGATTCCTGAAATGGCAAGACTGATATATATTAAGAGACTGGATCAGTTAGGATTACATTCAGTAGAGTTTGGAAGAATGGGGTGGGAGGGCAGTGTGGATCTTTTGGATATCTTAATAGAACTAGACTGCGTAAGTGCAGGAAGGATGTTCTCAATGATCAGGAGTTCAGAACCAGGGGTCACAATCTAAGGATGTGGGTAGACCATTTAGGACTGAGATGAGGAATTTTTTCACCCAGTGAATGGTAAGCCTGTGGAATTCGCTGCCACAGAAAGTGGTTGAGGCTAAAACATTGAATGTTTTCAAGAGGGAGTGAGATATAGTATTCGGGCTAAAGGGATCACAGGTTATAGGGAGAAAGCAGGAACAGGGTACTGAGTTGAATGATCAGACATAATCCTATCGAAAGGGGAACAGACTCATTGGGCCAAATGGCCTTCACCTGCTCCTATTTTCTGTTTGTTTTTTTTCCCTGTTCCTCTTGTTGGATCTCTAATTCATATTAGCTCAGCTGGTTGGATATCTGGTTTATGGTACAGAGTGATTGATACCAACAGCATGTGTTCAATTCCTGCACTGGCTGAGGTTACCATGAAAGACTCTTTCTAAACCTCTCCGCTCACCTGAGGTGTGGTGACCCTTGGGTTAAAGCACCACCAGTCGTCTCTCTCTGAGAGAGCAGCCCTATGGGACAATGGTGACTTTATCTTCAATTTCTCCCACCCTTTTTGTTCATCATTCTTTGATGGCTTTTATATTATGTCCAGTTCGCTGACCTGCAAAATATGGTTGTGGAATTGTATGCTTTTTCTTTCAATTTGATACAATCTTTAACTTCCTTTTTTAGTCACTAATAGTGCATCCTTCTCCTGAGTCTTTCTTTCTCGCTGGAAATATTTGTGTTATGAGTATCTACTTTAATGTCTGACACTGCCTTTCTACTGACTTACCCCCTAACCTAGTTCCCCAGCTCACATTGGACAGGTCTGTCTTATACTTTGTATTTGCCTTTATTTCGTGTGAAACACTAGTTATAGATACATTCTTCTCTCCTTCGAATGTGAATGTGAAAATCAGTTATGAAATGTTCCTGCTGCTAGGAAGTCCTCTGTGATTTAGTTAATCCTGTCTCATTACATGTTGCCATAACTAGAACAATCTGCTCTCTGTTTGACTCTGGAATATGCTGGTATATGAAACTATTCACAGTATACACTACAAACTCATCTTCCAACTACCTTTACCAATCTGATTTCTCCAATCTATAGGTAGATTAAAATTACCCATGATTACTATCTCAGACACTTTTATTATTGTTTTATTGCTTCATTGTTTTACATATTCTTCATAAATTCCAAATAGAGTGTCTTCTCTTCAAAGGCTCCAAAGCCAAAGATTTGAAAATAAACAGCCTGATTACAGAGAAATGACAGGTAGGTTGAATTCAAAGAGCTGCTAATCAGATACACATCTGAAAAAAAAATCACATAACATGTATAAACTTGAATTGAATAACCAGGCTCCTCTATCTACCCAACTACTTGGCAACCATCCAAACCATTGAAGCAATATTTGAATTTACCTGTAACATGGGCCTGCATTTTGGGTGAGTTCTGTGCAGCAGCATGGTAGGAATTATTCTCTGAGGGAGGGAATCTTGGAAAAATGAATTAACTGGGCGGTTGGTTTCCCATGTGCAAGTAGATTGTTTGAGAGGCTGGAGGGCTATCATGTGAGAATCTGCATTTGGCTGAAGATAGGAGGTTATTTTGTTAAGAGTGTAAAAGATGGTGAATTTGGGGGAAGTAGGATTATGGACTATGTGGGAAATCCAGATTGAGTGCATGTCAAATGGTGTTCTGGCTTCTTTCTCATTACATGTGGGTGGACTTGGGCAGCGGGGGAGGGAGGTGACTTGGCGTAAAGATGGTGTGAGCAGAGTATGTGGTGTTCAATGGTGGTTGGACCATTGGTAAAGATGGAGTGTTGTATGATCATGGATTGAATCTATTTGCTGGTCTAATGGATCTTGATCATGTGGTAATGAGTCTAATAGTTCTTCAAGGGAGCAGATGGTAATGGGGAGCAGGGAGCAAACAGGCGTTTGAGGAGAAGAGGGGAAAATGGTAGTTACTGGGTGGCATATTGGGCCCAGAGGCAGCACTCCTGCTCTTCCTGGCTCAAAAACAGTGTGGTAACAGTGCTTACCTCATGGAATCAATCCTTCCACTCTCCTTTTTAAACTGCCATCCATCCACCTGTGGGTAAAAATAGAATGACTAGGGGTGAAGTCACATAGTGTCATTATAATATTTAAATAACCCCCAATGAAACATTCCTGAGAGTGTGGTACCCCTGCAACAAACATTCCTGCCTTCATCCCATTATGGCTTTGCTTAGCTTATTTTTTTTCATTTTAAGCCCGATAAAAGCTAGCTCATTCCTTTTTTGGGGGGGGGGAGGGGGGTTAAGGTCCAACCCATGAATTCTGTCAGTGAACTTGGCTTTCAAATCATTATGCATTGTTATTGAAAGATTCAGCTTGAACTAGACAGAAATGTTTTGCTCCTATCAAACCATATTTGGTAAAGTTTTGTGCTACTCCGTCAGTGGAGCGAAATGTAACGATTACTTTCAATTTGATTCACCCAGTGCTGCTTTCAAGTCAGATGTAGTATGACACAGAGCAAGGTTCTTTTGGCCCACACTTGGAATGTCTGGATAATTTGGGAAGACTCAGGCTTTTTCCATGGATTAAAATTTATGAAATTGCTTTAGGATATAGGTGCCTTGTCATTACTAATAATATCCAGGATGATGGAAGTTTAGTCCCAAAATGACATGTGCAATTCATGCAGAAAATTTGACTTTGAAAAAAATTAAAGACTATTTCTGATCTAAAATGGTTCAGATCAATAGGCTAAGTCCCTTTACATTTTTCTGATTGGCCCAATAGTGACCAACTAGATCTTAAATTATGACATGTAGGTTTAGTTAGTGTCAGCAATGGCTCAGTTGGCAGCACCCTTACCCCAGAATCAAAAGGTTCAAATCCCACCCTAGCGTTTGAGCACAAGAATCACTGGTGCTGCAGTATTAATGGAGCATTGCACTGTTTGAGGTACTGCCTTTTGGATGTATCATTAAATCCCCTTACCATAACTCGGATAGATGGAAAACATCCCATAGTACAGATTCAACGGAAATCAGGGGAGTTACTCCAGCATCCTGGACAATATTTATTCTACAATTAACATCACAAAAAAAGTCATTATCTGGTGATTATCACTTTGCTGTTTGTGGAAGGTTGCTAAGCACAAATTAGCTTCTCTATTTCGTAGTACAAAAATAATTACACTTTTTGAAAATATATGACTGTAAAATGCTTTGAGATGTTCAGTGGTCATAAAAAATTGAATAAATGCAGATCTTTCTTTCTAAAATTAAAAGTCAAAATAAAATCATCATAAAAGTAAGAACATTTAACTCGACATTCAAAAATTAGCAGGAAAATAGATAATATAACATGTCCACCTTGGATAAGAAGTGGCACTCTCATTTCTGTGTCAATAGGTCATGGATTCAAACTCCATTGTAATTCAGTCCTCAAAATGCTGCAACGTTAGTGCTGTTTTCTAGATGAGACTTTAGACCAGACTGTGTTTGCTCTTTTGACTGTTTATAAAAGATCCAGTGACACAAGTTAATGTAGAGTGATAAGGAGAACTCGTCATGGCTGGCTTTCCATTTTCTACTCTCCCTGAACTTGAGTTTGTCATTTGAGTTGCCCATATCTTTACATGTACCAAATTACATTCTCTGAAGATCCCTATACTCACTGACCTACAATGACTTTCAGTTGAGTAATGCCTTCATTTTAATATTTTCATCTTTTGTTTTCAAAGGGAGAGGCAAGACCATGTAACCTCCCCCAACTTTGCAATCCTGTGAGCTATCTGGACTTTTTCAAGTCTGGTATCTACACATTCTTGATTTTTAATTGTTCATTGAGTGCCGACTCTGCCTAAACCCTGAGATCTAGGATTCCATCTCCAAACCTCCTTAACCTTTAGATGCCCCTTAAAGCCTAGATCTTCAAACAATCTTTTGATCATTGGCCAGATGTATTAATTGATGCATTGATGTTAATAATGTATTAATATTGAACAAAAATGTCTTTCTGTAAAAATCCCAATCCCTTCAATGATTAACCAGATATGTATGGCATAACAATTTTAGCCTGAAGACTTCCATTGATTTCCTGTCAAATGATCTACAGTGGGTGGGGTTTTAAAGCTGGAGCTGCTCTTCTCATTTACTTGTGTGATGCTGAGTGTAACATGAACATGCAACGTCAAAAAATCCTTAGTTGACTGTCACCCTCCTTGTTAAACAATCACTGCAGTAAAGCCCATTGTCTCGGAGAAACAAAGTATTCTTCTATACAATTAAACCTCTACTGTCAGATGTTAAACTCACTGATTTTTGCATCCTCAATTTTCACAGGAATTAATTGCCTCATACAGAAATGGTGCAGTATATAAAATGTTGAAAAGAACCATGTGTGGTCACAGCTTTCTTCTGTATTTGGCAAGCAAACTTATTTTGAATAGTATATGAATGCTAAACTGAAGAGAACACATTCTCTGTTGAACAGATGATGAATTGGCTATCTGCAAGCTGAAATTTCTGTGCTTTTTAAAATTTGATAATGCATTTGGCATAAAATTGAGCTGATTTGCTTTATTTTTGGTGGATGTTTAAGTACGTCAGAAGCCAAAAGGTTTTGTCTTCAATCAAATAGTTTTGACTAAAACTTATTTGAGCTTGGTATAATATCAACTTGACCAAGATTTTCTTTTGCATCAAACAATAATGAAATATTTGTGAATTATGTTAAATAGTGGCATATACCCATAGCTCCCACTGTATATCAGACATATTATTTGTCACCATTTATAGGACATGCATCACTAACAAAAAGACAAGGGGGAAAAATACAAGTTTTTGGTGTTGTTTGGTTAACAGGTAATGGATATTTTTCATATTATAGTCCACTTCCAGGGAGAGTGGTGCAAAATGACTTGCCTGTATTGTTCTACTGTCCTTGCATTTGAAATCTGCTGCCAATCTTTTGGTGGTCCAATCCAGGGAAGTGTTATGTTACATAACCAAAGTACTGTAAATGTTGGAAATTTGCAATTAAAATAGGAACTGATGGTACCATTCAGCAGGTCTTCCAGCATCTACAGAAAGGGAAACATTTGTATTTCTTATGAACTACCCTTGTTCTGTGCTTACGAATACCTGACTGCTGAACAACGTAGGTCTAGCACTTTACACTGGGGAGTGCTCGTGGCCATGTGAGACCCACAGAAAGTGACTCCATCACCATTGTAATAAAATAGACCTTGTAATTCCCCTACTCCCGTTTTGCCATCTTTCCTATTCCACATTTCCTTTCAGCCAGATTAACTTTCCTGCCACTATCATATTAAATATTATTGGTGTCATCAGGACTTTTAAGTATCTTGATGCAAAACATTTTCTAATTTGGTGAGAAGCATGTGAAACTTTTGAAGTGATTAAAATGATGAGAGCTGAATGCTTTGTTAAAATGTTCTGTTTCAGAGTAAGTATGCAGCAGTCACTACAGATTACTGTGCAATGGAAAGATAAGGAAAGGGCACAGATGGAAGGGGAGGCAAATGGCTTGCAGCTAGTCCAGTCCCAAATACTAGGCATAAAGCAATAAATCAGATAACTGGATATGACAGAGAAATGGTACAGGCCCAGACTCAGCTGTCTGCTATGATTGAACTGAGCCATTTAATCCGAGAAGATTTGCAGAGTCAAACTAGCAACCACACAGCACTGCATGTACTGGTCATTTTTGGTTATAACAGTTATGGCGAAGGTAGGCCATTCAGACCATCTCCGGAAGCTTCTAAAGCGTCCCCATTCCGATATTTAATGGCTTCTTAAAAAATTCATTGCTTTTACAAACATAGGAAGTCAATTGCTGTAAAAGATCCACTGGCTCGGAGCCTTTCCCATTTAGTTAATGAATCACAATGCAGAGCTCTACACCTATCTGGTACCATATAATCTCTTGGGAAAGCTGAAATACCAGCTCTAAAGAAAAATCACTACCATTCCCCACCATTCACTAAAAATGTTATTCTGTTTCCTCATTACACTGTGTACCCTGGTTATTAAATTGAAATTTTCTGTTTGAGGTAATTTTTCTACATCTACAAGATTTATATGGTTAATTACTTGAGAAATCTTAATGAAGTGTTATTGCAAGTGACCACTATTGGCTGAATGTTAGTTTATTCAAAAGGGTAAGAATGGACATGGCCTCATAATGGGCTTTGCTTGCAAATATTAAATTGGCTACATGGGTGATTGCTAGTGGTGATTAGTAGTTTCTAAAAAAAACAAAACACATGATAATTTTGGTGGTGGGAAAGTCGCTCAGTTGTGTGTGATAACACTTCTAGGTATAGGGAAAAAGAAATGGATATGGGCAGTTTACAGCATTTTGCTCCATTTTGACTCCATGCCACTGACGACCAATTAAGCCAACTAATGGTTACGTAAGACTTTAGAATCTTCCAGTTGGTCTCGTGGTCTTCAAGCAATAGGTGACAGTGCAGCTGTCTGAAAACCAGGTTGGGACAATTTAGACATCCTCTTGTCTACCTTATTTTAGCAGCAATTGCAGTTCCCGTTCCCCTGCTCCCCCCACCACAACCCCTACCCTCCCAAACTCACGGCATGCATGCATGCGTGCGCGTGTGCGCGCGCACACAAGACATCACCTAAATAGTGGTGAACCAGCTGCAAAGCTCTTTCTTATTTTATATTTGAAAAAGTTTGGAAGACGTGTCTCCATTTTTGGGATGTTTTCTCCCTCACTTACCCACAAGGGCATCTTGCTATTACTTTAAGTGATGGGTCTCCCATTGGCTCTTCATCTTCAAGAACCAGCCTGCAGGATATTTGATAATCAATCTGTTCACAGATGTTATTGCATACCACTGAAGTCAGTAGGACTTGAACTCTGACCATCTGGCTCACGCGTGGAGACATGACCAATGCACCACACCAGCCCTCAGGAGCCAAAGTGATATCTTCAGTTGTATGGCAAACCTATTTAATTGGCTAATTCAGGTGAAGAAAAATGGCAATTGACTTTTACCCAAAGTGGGAAGCTTCACTTGAGCCTGACAGTAGGATCTTGAATCCTAAT